GCGCCTTATCCACCTGGCCATGCCGGGCACCGGAGGGATGAGCAAAGCCACGTTGGGCTATCTGCTGTTTCCACAGCGGGGACTCGAAACCTGGATTTTAGCGTTGCAAGTCCGTAGACTTACCATTGTCCACCGAGAGACCAGACCATAATACGAAGCTAGAGACATAATCATAAGAACGAACCGTTTTACACTAAAGTGATCCAAACACTGAAATGCGAGTTAACAAGAAAGCCGACATTAAATAATTTTGTCACACGTTTAAAGTCTTATCTTAAAAAAAAAAAGGTAAGATAGTCATGCAAATATTCGAGACAAAGTTTTATGAGCACACCAAGGCCACAGTTAACACACCAGGTGGCAGGTGAGGTGTTTCGAGAACAACAACGTTCAATATCGTATATAAAAAAAACAAATTTTATGGACAGAAACGATCTGGGAGTTTTTAATACTGACGACGTTTCGAACTGCTCGTTGTCCGATGTCGTCAGTTGTAGGCAAATCCCAGACTGACCACCGGGAAAATGTTACAGTCTAGACCAGTTTTAAGTTATCCACCGTGAATTAATATAAACTAGCTTCTGATTAAAGCAAAGTGTCTACTTAGATTGAAACTAAAAATCAACCTGGTAATGAGTATAAATAATTAAACATACTTTTCTTAAATTTATACTTATAAAAATTAGTTTCATCAGTTCCACCGGTTTCGACTGTTCACTGCTCAGAGAGCTTAAGTCTTCACCGGTTTCGACTGTTCACTGCTCAGAGAGCTTAAGTCTTCACCAGTTTCAACTGTTCATTGCTCAGAGAGCTTAAGTCTTCACCGGTTTCGACTGTTCACTGCTCTGAGAGCTTAAGTCTTCACCGGTTTCGACTGTTCACTGCTCAGAGAGCTTGAGTCTTCACCGGTTTCGACTGTTCACTGCTCAGAGAGCTTAAGTCTTTACCAGTTTCGACTGTTCACTGCTCAGAGAGCTTAAGTCTTCACCGGTTTCGACTGTTCACTGATCAGAGAGCTCGAGTCTTCATCGGTTTCGACTGTTCACTGATCAGAGAGCTCGAGTCTTCATCGGTTTCGATTGTT